GCGCACCTCGGCCTCCCAGAATGTTAAGATTACGGGCATCAGGCGTTGCTCTTGGCCTTAACGGCTGGCTTCTTTACTCCATCCTGTTTTATCAGCAAGGTCTTTGTGACCTGTATCTTGTTCCAACCTCCTATCTCATTCCGTGACTAAGATTGCCTAGCTCCCTGGGAATGCAGACCAGCAGGTCTCAGCATTATTTTGCCCAGCCCCTATTCAAAATAGAGTCAGTCTGGTTCAAACGCCTCTGACAATATGGGATATTTCAATTTATGCCTATTTATCCCATTTGTCTTTCCCCTCTTTTCTCTATCTTGATCTAAAAACCTCTCACCCAAGTATCTCCAAAGCTATCAGCTTGGCTTTTTTTTTTCTTTCTGTCACTCAGGCTGGAGTGCAGGGAATGATCTTGAGCGTTGGCCTCCCAGGCTCAAGCAATCCTCCTGCCTCAGCCTCCTGAGTAGTTGGGACTACAGGTGTGTGCCACCACATCTGGCCATTTTTTTTCTATTTTGAAAACGATGGGTTTCTGCTGTGTTATCCATGCTGGGCTCAATTGAGCCTCCCACCTCAGCCTCCCGAAGTGCTGGGATTACAGGTGCAAGTCACTGTGGCTGGCCTAGCTTGGCTTTTTGATATGTGAAACTTGTCTGAAGTTTCAAAGTGGGGATTGAAGGAAATTAAAATATTTTACCCCAAAATATATTTATTTGACATATTTTGAAATGGCTGCCACTTGGTCATCTTGACAGAAGTGGCCTTGCAAAGCTGCCTTAAGTGGAGAAAATTTGCATCTGCAGAAAATCTCCATGAATGCAGCCATGCCCCCTCCCCCATTCTATTCTTTCCCCAGATCCAAGAGCGAATGGGAGTCTCACACCCTTACCATCTATTCTCTCCAAAGGATGCTTTATCCACATAACAAGGACACCTTTACTAGTCAAGCCTCTTTACCCCCTCTCATAACCTGTTTTACCAAAATCTAAGCTCCCATTATTTCTGTAACCTCAAAATGGTATGCATGTTTGTGTAACACATGGAGAAGTTGGGTCTTCATTCTGAAGGCTCCCGTGTATGCACATTAAATTTGTATGCCTTTTCTTCTACTAAGAAGATAGCACATACAAGTAGGAAAAAATGTCTCAATATAGAACATAACAAACCAAAACCAGGGGCACCGGGAGTTGTGGTTACCCACCGTGCCAGAACGGAAGGGCAGGAGGATGGCAGGAGGGGGAAAGCTGTGAGTTCAGCACCGCGGACAGCGACCTGCCTTCCCTGCTGCCTCAGCAGCCTGGGGGATGGATTTCAGATGGCTGAGATTTGGACATCTTCTAGATCCACCTTATATAAAAAGAGCCTCTTCAGGAAAAATGAAAAATAAAGACAAAGAGCTATCCAGCCCCCTTTCATACCCCTTCTTATGCAGCGGTGAGGTTTTCTCTATTCAAAGGCTCAGGCCTTGATGGACATTTTCACCTCATGGGAAGTTACTGCTTTGCTCTCTTTAAAGATCTTTGTCAAAAACCAATTGGCTGTAGATGTTTGGGTCTATTTCTGAGCTTTCTGTTTTGTTCTATTTATTTACATGTTTATGCTTATGTCAGTTACATATTATCTTGATTTACAGTGTTAGGTAAGTAGCTTTATAATAAGTCTTGAAATCAGGTAGCACGAGCCCTTAAACTTTGCTATTCTTTTTCAAAATTATTTTGCTTATTCTAGGTTCTTTGTTTTTCTATACAAATTTGTCAATTTCTTTCTTTTTTTTTTGAGACGGAGTTTCGCTCTTGTTACCCAGGCTGGAGTGCAATGGCGCGATCTCGGCTCACTGCAACCTCCGCCTCCTGGGTTCAGGCAATTAATTCTCCTGCCTCAGCCTCCTGAGTAGCTGGGATTACAGGCACGCGCCACCATGCCCAACTAATTTTTTTCTGTATTTTTAGTAGAGATGGGGTTTCACCATGTTGACCAGGATGGTCCCGATCTCTTGACCTCGTGATCCACCCCCCTCGGCCTCCCAAAGTGTTGGGATTACAGGCGTGAGCCCCTGCTCCCGGCCAGCTTGTTAATTTCAACAGAAGAGTCCAATGGGATCTTCCCTGGAATTGCACTGACTCTGTAGATACATGTGAGGAGAATGGGAACCTTAAGAATGCTGAATCTATGAACAGGATACATCTCTCCATTCTTTCTTTCTCTCTCTCTCTCTCTTTTTTGGAGATGGAATCTCACTTTGTTGCCCAGGCTGGAATGCAGTGGTGCAATCTTGGCTTACTGCAGCCTCTGCCTCCCGGATTCAAGCAATTCTCCTGCATCAGCGTCCCAAGTATCTGGGACTACAGGTACGTGCCACCACACCCGGCTAATTTTTGTATTTTTAGTAGAAACAGGGTTTCATCACATTGATCAGGCTGATCTTGAACTTCTGACCTTGTGATCCACCTGCCTCAGCCTCTCAAAGTGCTGGGATTACAGACGTGAGTCACCATGCCCAGCAGCTCTCTATTTCTTAAAGTTTTAAAACACTTCTTTCATTAATGTTTTGTAGGTTTTGCTATACAAATCTTGCAGATACTTTCTTAGCTCTATTATAACTATTTAATAGTTTTTGGTGCTACTACAAATGATATTTTAAAATTTCAATTGTTTGTTGCTAGTGTGTATAACAGAATTGTTTTTATTTGTTGGTCTTGTATCCTATGACCTTGTTAAACTCACCTATTAGTTCTAGCAGCCTTTTTGCAAATTCCTTCCTTTTTGTTCTATATAGGCCCTCAACAAATTGGATGTTGCCCATTCACATGGGAAGAACCATTTGCTTTTTTTTTTTTTTTTTTTTTTTTTTGATATGGAGTCTTGCTCTGTCACCCAGGCCGGAGTGCAATGGCATCATCTTGGCTCACCACAACTTCTGTTTCCAGGATCAAGTGATTTGCCTGCCTCAGCCTCCCAAGTAGCTGGGATTACAGGTGCACATCACCACTCCCAGCTAATGTTGACCAGACCTCACTTACAAAACAGTCTCATAGATAAATGAAACAATTTCAAGATGGTGACCACAGACCACTAAATCCCAAAGTGTTGGGCCCTTCAGAGAACAGAACCCTGTGTGACTCCCCTGGTTGCATATCCATGAAGCAGGGCCTGCATCTATGTCCATATCCGTATTTTTATCTATGTCTATATCTTCATGTAACTGCCACCAAGAGCAAGCTATGATGTTTCCAACACTCGGGAGGGTAGGTTCCCTTGAGTCTACTCCTAGCCAACCCTCTTTCCATGCCCCAGGTTAAGACTATTCTGACCTCTGTCACTATAGATCACTTTTGCTTGCTTGGTTTTGATTGTTTATAAATAGAATCATATGCATGCCATTTTTTGTGCTTGACTTATTTTGTTCATCATTTTGACTGTGACATTCTCCTCGGTTACATTCCTTTTTAAAAAATTACTGTGGTGGCCGGACATGGTGGCTCACACCTGTAATCCAAGAGCTGTGAGAGGCTGAGGTGGGCAGATAATCTGAGGTCAGGAGTTCCAGACCAGCCTTGCCAATATGGCTCCAGATTCTTGCTGGTGTTAACTCCTTCCATCCTCCTGGCTACAGTACTTAGATGAAGGAATCATTCTTTCCTTTACACAGCTGACAACGCTGGGCTGCAGAGAATGAGAGCAGGACTGTGTTGTTTTCATCTTTCTGCGTCCCCAGTCCCAGGCATGTCAGCAGGTGCTTCATGTATGTCTGCTGAGTGTGTGACTCAAAAGGTATTATACTGAGATCTCTAGAACTCAGTTGCTCTCACACTGTAGTTTGCATAAGAAGTGCCTTAATAAATGTAAATATTTGGAATTTCCCTCCATAGGTCTGGGGTTCTGGAATTTGCAATTCAACACTCCTCTCCCCTACTCGTGGGCTATGAAGAAGCACTTTTTTTTGGCCAGGCTAGGTGGTTCATGCCTACTTTTTTTTTTGAGACAAGATCTCGTCTTGTTATGCAGACTGGAGTGCCGTGGTGCAAGCTCACGGCTCACTGCTAATTTATCTATCTATCTATTTATTTATTTATTTTTGAGACGGAGTTTCACTCTTGTTATCCAGGCTGGAGTGCAATGGCGCGATCTTGGCTCACCACAACCTCTGCCTCCTGGGTTCAGGCAATTCTCCTGCCTCAGCCTCCTGAGTAGCTGGGATTACAGGCACGCGCCACCATGCCCAGCTAATTTTTTGTGTTTTTAGTAGAGACGGGGTTTCACCATGTTGACCAGGATGGTCTCGATCTCTTGACCTTGTGATCCACCGGCCTCAGCCTCCCAAAGTGCTGGGATTACAGGCGTGAGCCACCGCGCCAGGGCTCTCTATGTATTTTTTGTTTATTTGTAGAGATGCGGTTTCACCATGTTACCCAGGTTGGTTTCGAGCTCCTGACCTCAGGTTATCCTCCCACCTCGGCCTCCCAAAGTGCTGGGATTACAGGCGTGAGCTACCACGCCTGGCCAAGACTCATTTTTTTTTTCATTTTTAAGACGCATATTTTTAATAGCACCTATCATTTACCTGAAATTATCGTGGTTATTTACCAATGTAAGCTCCAACAGGGCCTGGCTTCTGCCTGCTTCTCCCCTGATGCGTGTCGGGAGCCTGGCCCAGCGCCTGGCCCAGATGAGCAGCGCTCTAAGCACGTGCTGAATGGACGACTGCCTTTCAGGGCCTTCCAGCGTGGTTATCTCATGCGTCGGTGTTGAGCGCTTGCTGAGCGACAGAAGCCACGAGCGGAATGAACGCACACGAGAGGGAGGAAGCTGCGGACCGCGGGCCAGAGTTTCTGGCGGCCCAAGGAGCGATAGGTGACCGTTGCCAGGGCGGCGCGGGGAGGGCGCGGCTCCGTGACGTCACGCCTGTGGAGCGCGGCGGCCGCGCGCCAGGCGGCGCCATGACGTCATACCTACGGAGCGAAGCCTCCGCCGCGCGTCGGGCGGCGCCGTGACGTCACGCCTGCGGAGCGGCCGCCGCGCGCCGGTGGGGCGCGGGCGCGTGCGGGGCGCGGGCGCGTGCGGGCTGCGGGCCGGGCGGCGGCGGCGGCGGCTACGGCGGCGGCATGGCGGAGAGCGAGGCCGAGACCCCTAGCACCCCGGGGGAGTTCGAGAGCAAGTACTTCGAGTTCCACGGCGTGCGGCTGCCGCCCTTCTGCCGCGGGAAGATGGAGGAGATCGCTAACTTCCCGGTGCGGCCCAGCGACGTGTGGATCGTAACCTACCCCAAGTCCGGTGAGCCCCGCGCAGACCGCGCCCGCCCCGCCGCGCCCCAGCCCTGCAGCACGGCCGCGTAGACGCCGCGCCCGCGCCCCGGGCTTTTGCCCGGCAGGGTTTCGCCCTCGCCCTCGCCCTGCCCACCGCCCTCCCGGTGCTCGGATCTCCGCAGGGCGGAGCAGGGCGCGGCGGGGTGGAGTGGGAAGGGCTTGGCCCGCGCCTGGGGAAATCAAGGTCGGAGACCTTCTAGGGTGGCCCGTTCGGTGGAGATGGAGCCTATTTGGCCGGCGCTGCAGGAGGACGGACCCAGGGCCGCCACCCATCCCTGCTTCTCCCTTTACCTGGCTGGCTGTGTGACCTTGGGCAGGTCACTCAACCTCTCTGTTCCCGAATCCTGCTCAACCTTTGATGAGTGCAAAGTCCTGGTGTTCACCTGGGAAGGGAGATAACATGGGCGTCAGGGCTTTCAACGTGAAAACGTACGTCCCTCCTTTCCAGCGTGGGCTCCGGGTGGGGGATGGGACCAGCCCCTGCCCGGAGTGCCTTGCTTGTACATTCTCTTGTTTCAGGGCTGCCTCCATCACCGAGGCAAGACCCGGGGCATTCCCATTTCCCAGCATCAACTGACGTCACATTCACAATCACAGCTGTGTGAGCTAGAGGTGGCCATTCCCTAGACTTTGCGGTCTAGGCATAGAGGTTCAGAGAGGGGAGGAGGCAGGTCCAAGGTCACCCAACTTGTGAGTGGCAGACCTGGGAATGAAAGCTAGGCTGGTCTGTCTCCAGACCTGAGGTAGGAGATTGTATAGTACCCCATCTGAGGTTTGTCGGGCAAGGAGGTAGCTTTCCTGTTCTCTAGACGTGTGCTAGGGATTCCCTTGTTGCCACTGTGTTTGAGGCAGACACAGCGCGGATTAGAAGGTGTCTGGCTGTAAGGTCATGTTGGATCAGCAGCCGGGCAGTTTCGGGAAAAGCTGTGGGCTTGGCTCTCTTAGCTGTATGGAGTTCCAGACATCTGAGGGCAGACCCCAGACATTCTTCTGGGGAGGATTGGAGTAGGGGCTCTCAGTAGAGGGTGTTGGGTTGGAGAACAGAGTGTTTGAGGGGCTGCTATCTTGAGCACATGCCAGTTGCCGCGTGGGGGAACCTAGAATGCTTTAGGAATGGCTAAACATGTCGTTGGCTTCTGTGGCCAGCCATGGAGTCCCGTGTGCCAAGTGCCCTACTTCTGTTAATCTGCAAGGGGTTCTCATAGCATTTTTTCAGACACTCACAGAAGGCACAAACTGCTCAGAGTCATGCAGTTGTGGAAGGTCAGAGGCCAGGTCTAGCCAGGTCTCCCGGTCCATGGCCAGCTTCTCCCTTGCCCTACGGGTGCTCCATTGCCCTTGGAAAGTCATAAGGTCCCAAGAAGGAGGAGGACCCAGCCATCTTTCTAGTAGGCTTTAAAATGCTGGGAGTCACATTCAGCCACTTAGGGATTTTGAGGTTTGTGTCACTTCTCTGAGGCCTCTCCAAGTGGACTTCAGGTAGCCCAGTTCGTATTTTCTTTCCCTTTCCGTCCTCTGCTACTGGGGATGGATTTGTAGCGGGCACCAGTGTTTATGCATTAAGAACCTGGCTTTGGAGTTGGAAGACCTGGGTTTGAATGCAGCTTTGCTGCTTACCAGCAGGGTGACCCTGGGCACATCATAGAACCCCATTGAGCCATGGTCTCTGCGGAGGCAGGAGAGACTACCTCGGCCCACTGATGTATGTATGGCTGTGAGGATGAGCAGAAGGGTGAGTGAGAGCCCTTAGCCCAGATCCAGACACATGTAGGAAAGGCTTGTGGTTAATGCTGACTTCTACACCCTCAACACCTGTTGTGACCAGATGCTTTGCTAGGTGCTAGGGAGACTGATAGAGGCCTGTCCTTAGTGAGCTCTCAGTCTGATGGGGGAGGCCTGGCTGGTGCTGGGACTGGGGCCAGTAGCCAGGACTGACAGCCCCTTTCACCTGCTGCAGCAGGGAACCCACGGGTCTCCTTGGATTTCCAGTGTCCGGATCTAGGAGATCCTCCTGAACTTGCAGGTGGTCAGAGCTGGAAGGGCCCAGTCCTTGTCAGCCCCTTCCCACCCTCCGCTGATGGAGAAACGGGTTCACAGGCTGCTGGGGGCTTTCTGGTGGCTAAGGCAATGATAAAGATCCTGGCCTTCTCTTCCTGTCTGATAGTTTTTCCCACAACCCCGTGCTGCTTGCTGGGATTTTTTTTGTGCTTGTGACATTCTAGCTTAGCTGACAGGTTAGGAACTGTGCTCTCTAGTGTACGAGCCTCTGCCCACAGGTGGCTGCTTACATTTAATGAAATAAAAGTGGAAATTCAGTTCCTCAGTGCATCACCATGTTCAGGTGCTCAACAGCCGCATGGGGCTAGTGGCTGCCAAATTGGATAGCACAGATGTGGGGTGTTCCCGTCACAGCTGAAAGTTCTGCTGGACAGTGCCAGGTAAACCGTGATCCAGACATTGGGAGCCCACTGTGTCTTCTGAGAGGGTCCTTTCTGTGGACCACTGACTTTGTTCATACTCATTCATTCTTATAGCCTATTTGGTCCTGGATATTGGTTGTATTGAACCCGATTGTGTCTGTGAAGACATGGTGCCTGTGTGTTGTTGGTTTGATGGAATCACTGCCATTGGTTTTGTCAACAGGTTGATTCTAATTGAGTGCTTGTCCTCGAGAGGGCACAGCCCCAAAGTCATGGAGCTTGGGCTTTGGAATATGGTCCATGCCAGAGCACCCACCGCTCTGATTGTATTTTCCTCTTGGTTCTGGCCAGTCGTGAAGTACATGTGCATTCTCGCTGATGCAGAGGGAAGCGCCTGGGCCTGGGCTCCATCCCTTCACTGTGTGGCCTCCGTTGAGCCACCTGGTTTCTCTGAACTTCGGTTTGCTCATTAAGAATGAGAGGATTTTACCTGATTGATGCATTTAAGTCTTAAATTTTCAGACAACTCAGGGGTTGAAGCTGAAGGGAGCTGAAGCTGAGGGGAGACTCACGGTGTGCAGGTCCCAGGCTGGATAGATAGGCTAGTTTTCTTGGTGTGTGTCACTGTGCACAGGCTTCAGAAGGGCTGTGCATGTGGTGACCTTGGGACACTTGCAGTGACATGGGGAAGGCAGAATCCTAACGCTGAAAAGTTACCCGATAAGCCAGGGTGGCGGTTCTCAGAGTTAGGTAAATGACCTGGGAATGAAGGTTCTGAAGAGGAGGATCTTGGAAGACTACATGGAGGAGGAGGCAGGTTGGGTGGATTACCCATTAGAGATGCTGTCCTGCTCTCTACCCACTTCCATCCTCAGGGTAGCCCTGTGCTCTTGTGACTGTTTCCTTTTTATAGATGTGAAAATGAGGGCCCAGGAAGGGCAAAGGGCCAGAATAATGCCAACACCAAGTGTAGACCCTGGAGAGAAACCACCCACATGAGGGGAGAAGAGAGGTGTGGGGTGGGAGCTAGCACCTGCCAGCGCTTCCTGGTTCCCACACGCAGGAGATGTCTCCTAACCTCAGTGGGTGGGTGAGGAAGGACCCATCGCTCTCCAGGAGATTGTGGGGCTGACGTTTGTTCTGAGATCAGGGAGTGTGTGGAGCCCCTTTAGCTTTCCCACACAGGATAACAGTGTCTCACAGCAGCGTGGTGAGTTACCTGCATGCCATGAGGGAATGCAGAGGCCTGAAGAATGGAACCTGGTTTTGTAGCAGAAGAACTGAGAAGTTCCTCTTTCCCCATCCTTCCCCTCCTGCTCTCTCATCCCTTCCCCTTTGTCTTCTGGCTGTTACACGTAATCAGGGGGCTTGACCTGGGGAAGGGGGTGGCAAAATAACGATCCTGAGTGTGCAGGGGCAGGTTTCTCCCCATCACTCCACGGGCTGGGAGGCAAAAGCCTGCAGAACGACTCAGGATTCAGGAGGAAGAAGAAAGTGGGGCTGCTGGGGACATTCCCTGAGTGGCTGGCCCTAGCAGAACAGGAAGAAACCTTGGGTCTGCTTGTCTGAGCTCCAGGGCCTCCTCCTGGATTCTTCCTTTCTCATTCTTCCCAGACATGCCCTTATTGCTTCCTTCTATGAGGGGTACATCTGCCCCCAAGCAGCTCTCAGATCTTTTGGCTCCTTCAGCTCCTGGCACAGTCTTAGGATTCTTCCCCTCTCACCTGGAGTGTTGCAGTGGCCTCCTGAGTCCACCTTTGGCTCATCCTTCACTCCGTAGCTTGAGTGATCTCCTAGAAACACCAGTCTAACTTAGGTCCTCCAAGCTTAGAATTCTTTACTGGCTCCCATTGCTGCCAGGCAGCATTCTTCTCCTTAGCCTGCCCTTCTGTAGTCTGGACTCCACCTCTTCCACCTCCTTGTTTGCCAGCCACAGGGAAGTGTCTGCTCATCTTGTCTGGGGTGTTGCTCCCCTCCCCTGGTGTCTGCTTCCCCTCCCCTCTGATTACTTGATGACACGCCCTCTTCAAGTCCACTTGTCTGTTAGATGAGGGACTAAACGTTCTTCCTAGGCCTCCCCTGTGGTAGCTTTCAGAACTCTAGAGATGTTGCTTATGTGTCTTCTGGCTTGCAAGTTTTATTTATTTATCTTTATTTATTTATTTATTTTTTAAGACTAGGTCTTGGTTTGTTGCCCAGGCTGGAATGCTCACTGTAGTCTCAACCTCCCAGGCCCCAAGTGATCCTGCCACCTCAGCCTCCTGAGTAGCTGGGACCACAGGCATGAGCCACCATGCCTGGCTAATTTTTTAAGTTTTTGTAGAGATAGGGGTCTTGCAACATTGACCAGGTTGGTCTTGATCTCCTGGGCTTAAGCAGCCCTCCTGCCCTGGTCTTCCAAAGTGCTGGGATTACTGGTGTGAGCCACCATGCCTGGCCGTAATTTCTTTTTTTTTTTCGTAATTTTTTTTTCTTTCTTCTTCTTCTGCTTTTTTCTTTTTTGAGACAGGATCTCACGGTGCTGCTCAGACTGGCCCAGAACTCCTGG